TGAGTCTGGCTGTGAGCACTTAGGAAACCAAGTGAGCTTTCAGGTGAAGTTTAGTTAGACCGGCCTGATTTACCTGCTTAAATTACTTTTAAAGAAACAGCATAATCCTTCTGCTTCTGAAGCCAGGCTTAATGGGGTCTTTACACGTTCCTTAAAAGCCAACCATATTTTAAGGTCACAGATATCTTTGAAATCACATTTCTTCCTTCCCATTATTCCCCCCTTCCCTCCCCCCCTAATACACACCCCACTTCCAGAGTTTACAAAATAAATAAATAAAATGAAAAGTAATTTCCCAGGAAGATTTTTTTTTTTTTCCTTTTAAAGTGCCCGGGTCCACAAACCGAAAAGAAGAGAGAAACAATCAATCTTTTTCTCGAAAGACTTTTGACAGCTCGGCCTAACTCCCTCAGCGAAGAAATTTGGCTTTTGCAAAAGCGTTACTTAAAACTATGAAAGATTTTAAAAGTTTAATCCAAGGGTGTGAATTCGAGGAAATCTAGAAAGTAAAAATTCCTGATGGGGGAAAAACTAAGCTCCTTGCTGCAGAATGGAGAGGTGGCTGGTTTGTAGTTTGTTTGTTCAAGCTCCATTTCTCCCATTTTGCAGCAGAGAGGGACTGGCAGGCTGCATTCACGCAGGGAGAAGCCTAGAAACTTTTGTCAGTTCAAGCATCTGTGTGGGTGGTAAGGGTTTCTGAGAAACACATAATAAATCTAAAGCTGAAGCTGAGGCTGAAGCACATTTTAGCAAAAGGGTGAAGAAAATAAAAAAGCATTTACAAAATGCAGCTCGATTGAAGGCAGAATTTTCCTACCTATTTTGTATCTGTGGGTGTGCTTATCAAAATCGCTATAAATCTACTCAATCTCAGCAGGTCAGGGCTGATGTAAAAATGAATAGCTGAGTTTCCAATAATTTCTTGCTTGTTTGGATTAAAGTGGCTTTTTGGGGGTCTCAGGCTTTGTCATGAGGCTGCTCTTTCCTCCTGCTCTGTGGCTCAGTGGGGAGCTGGGGTGCAGCAAAGAGTTTGGATGTGAAAGGAAACTCTTTTCCAGCCACTTCCAACTTTTCTCACTGCTTTTGCTAACGCTGAAGTTGTAAGGGGCGGGTGGGAGAGAAGAAATATATCAAAAATAAAAGAAAATCCCTTTCCCTTTCTTGGCGAAAGAGGGATTTTTCCCATGCACCATGCAAAGACAACAGGAAAAAAAAAAATCCCCCCACTCGAGGGGAAAGGCATCAGCTTATATGAATAAATTCATGGGGGTAAGGAACGATAGAGAAATAATTGTAAGACAAACCAGGGCCTGCTTCTTGTTGCAGGGGTGCAAATTAACCCGTGGGTGTGGGGAGTTGTAGGAGAGGAACCCCATCGAGAATCGGAGAGGGGCTACGCTCTGAGCCTCAGCATTGGCTTCTTTTCCCTGATTTTAACCAGTTCCTGGGAATCCCTGACGCAAAACCCAGCAACATGGCGACCGGGATGCGAGACTGGGAAAAATATATTCAATGAGGGGAGGGGAAGACAAACCCAAGCCCAAGCCAAGCTCTTGTTCTTTGAGCTGATCCCAAGCAGAGCCTGCACGCCTTTATGCTTTTAAATTATAGTATCCCCGGATGGTAAATTGCTCTCTGCATGGACGGGCATAACCCAGCCCGGTCCTGGGGAGAAAAACAAGCCCTGTCTCTCCGTTAGAGCGTTATTTATTATTGCACGAAGGTTATAATTATTAACCTGGAACTTCATTTATTAAGAGAGACCAGAGATACAGGCACAAGATCATTTCTCATGTAAAGCTTTCTCCACTCCACCTTTCCATACGTGTGGGTTTATCCAGGCACCTATGGCTGTCCCTGGCTGTGCACAACTCTGTGGATAAAACACGGACACACGCACACACTCCTCCTTTCTACAGCCCAGCCCTTTTTTTGGTACCTTTTACAGCCTTTTCGCCCTTTTCTCCTGGCAGCAATCAAAATCCCCTTCTCCTTTCCTCCGGAGGGGACCTTCCCCTCTTCATCACACACAGAAATGGAGCATTTCCAGCCTGAGAAGCACTTCACCCCCTTTCCAGAACCATAAAACTTTTATTAGCCCTCGCTGCTTTAATATAAGTTTTCTTAGGGCTTTAGAGCATAAAAAGCAAATTATTCACGGTATTATCCCATCTGCTTTAGCTGCTGGCAAAGGGTTATTCTCCCTCTTGCTTTCACCGATAATGTAACCTTTGGCGGCTTCTCTTTCCCCCTTTTAATAAGAATTTTAGATGCGTGTGTGAGTCGGGGGGGGTTTAGGGATGTTGGGGTTTGTGCACGTGTGTGTGCACACGTGTGCGTGTGTGTGCACATGTGTGTGCGTGTTTATGTGTATTTTAATAATATGGAACTATAATACATAATTTCATTTCTCTTCACTTTTAAGGTTCCAGCATGGAAACTCTGGGCCCTTTTTAATATTTTGGTTTTCTTGTTGTTGTTGTGATTAATCCTTTTCCTTTGTTTTCATTCGCGGCCCAATGGCAGCCCGGCCCCGGCACCACGTGACCCCTCTTTGTGGCCGCGGGCGCG